TCTCTCTCTCTCTCTCTCTCTCTCTCTCTTATTCTTCTTCATATACATTTTGCTCATTCAGAAATTAGCACAATTAGCTATAACTAAAGCCTTTCTGTTTGTTGAGTTTTGGTAGGTTCTACATTAGGGCTGTTTGGTTTGGAAAACAATTGATGTAAAATAAAGATTTGCATAGATTTTTGTTTTGTTCGAAGTATCATCTCCATCATTATTATTTCCCTCTCCCATCTCTGTTTCTCTCTACCCCTCCTCTTTCTAGCTGAAAGGAGGCAAACCAAAGAACCTCAAGTGATTGAGAAAAGAAGAAAATCAGAAGTTAATTTATGTTTATGTTCCCATCCTTTGTTTCATGGGTTCTTGATGTTGTAATACATCAAGCTTAGATTTTATAATTGATTGCCTTCTTATTGGCACTTACAATTCTATTATCTGCTCTTTGTGAATTCCTTTGCTTTACTACTTGCTGGATTTCATAGTTTGTGCAATTAGGTGGCCACCAGACACCAAAGGATTTTTTTTTTTTTTTTCAATCTATGATTTGGTCAAGGTCAGAAAAGGCCAGCCATATGGCTACATCCCCTTCAATCTCTCAGTTGAACAGTCAAGCAATTGTGCGTTAGATGTCACCATCTGTGAAATGGAGATCACCATCTTTTGGAAGTTTTGCCTTGGTTGTCAATGAAAATGATGGCTCTTCTTTTGTCTATAAAGTGGAGATCACCAAAATTTTCTTCGTCCAGTATAAACATGTATTTCTCTGGGCTTGTTTCATTACTATTTTCTTGGTATCCCAAGTTGTTTCAAGTTTAACAGGCTTTGGTTCTATGGTTTCTTGCAAAATTCAATAGAATGATCATGAGTTTATGAAACACAAACTTTATGGGGCTAGCAGGCAGAGTTGGGCAGTTGGTGGCGGCGGTGGCAGATTGTAACTGAAGGTGGCGGTTTGCGGTGGCAGAAGGTGGTGGCTAGCAAGAGTTAGCAGTGGGAGATGGAGGCCAGAGATGGCGGTGATAGCTATTTGTAATTTGTAAAACAATTGAAAATACAAAAAAAAAAAGTTATTTTTATTACTAATAATAGTTCATCTAAGTTATTTATTTGGTTAATCATGAAAATTTGAGTTATTTTTATAAGTATATCTAACTCTCTTTTTGCAACAGGGTGCATCACCCTTGAAGAGCTCGCCACTGTCATCCAATCATTGGGCCAAAATCCAACTGAAGAAGAACTGCAGGATATGATCACTGAAGTTGATGTTAATGGGAATGGCACCATTGAATTTGGAGAGTTCTTGAGCCTAATGGCCAGAAAATTTAAGGTTATTAATTGAAACATACAGTTACAATTTTTACTGTTAGAACTACTAATTTGTTCATTTTATTGCATGAGATGATAAAAATATTTTGCATATCTGCAGAAGTCATCGTCAGCAAACTCCTTTTCCTTGTAATCATTCAACATTAAAGTTTCGTTTGGGACAACTTTTTCATTGCTTCTTAAAACGAAATTTCAGTATAAAAAAGCCGTCCCAAACGAAGCCCAAGTCAAATTGTCATCCACAAGCTTCATTACTGCATCTTGTATATAAGATCTAATCATCAAGGACTCATTCAATTGTTTGCAGGAAACTGATGCTGAAGAAGAGTTGAAGGAAGCCTTCAAGGTTTTTGATAGGGATCAGAATGGCTACATCTCAGCTAGTGAGGTAAGCACTACTTAGGCTTCATTTGGGACGATTTTCTTCCTGCTTCTTAAAGTAGCTTTTTAGTATAAAAATTAAAAATTTTGTACTAAAAAGTTGTTTTAAGAAGCAATAAAAAAACCGTCTTTGCATTTTTTTTCTGTCAAAACACTAACTATAGATTTCTCTTGTTGTAGCTGAGGAATGTAATGATCAGCCTTGGAGAGAAATTGACTGATGAAGAAGTGGATCAGATGATCAGAGAGGCTGATATGGATGGTGATGGCCAAGTAAACTATGAGGAGTTTGTTCGAATGATGATGGCCGTCTGATTCGATCGATCAATTCGATATTTGATGTTTGTTTTGATAGATCTCATATTCAAATTTGTTTTAAACATGTATGGATTAATTCCATCAGAATCATTTGTTCTTATTTTGTGGAGATATCTGGATTTTGTTGGTGCTGTTAGTATTTTCATGTTAAAGTAATGTATTGTGTTTAATCTGTGCAATAATTACAAATTAAGCTCTTGTATTAGAAAAAGACGAGATTTGTGTGTTTCCTATCACTAGTATGTAATTTTCTTGTGTAGATTAGCCATCCTTACAACATATTTAACCTGTGATAAGAACTGGCTCAGGAACAAAATGTCTTAATAAAATTTAGACTTAGGCTTCGTTTGGGACGACTTTATTGCTGCTTTTTGAAGCAGCTTTCTAGCACAAAAATTTTAATTTTTGAACTAAAACGCTGTTTTAAGAAGCATCAAGAAAGCCGTCCCAAATGAAGCCTTAGTTTGGGGCAACTTTATTATCATTTTCTATTTTATATTGCAACTATAGTATTTGTTTGGCTACAATTTTTACATGGCTTTTAAAAAAGTTTTTTACTAGGAAGCTACTTTTGCAAAAACTTTAAAAAAAGTAAATTTTTTAATGATAATTTTACAATCACCTTTATGAAAAGTTGTCTCAAACAAACCTTACTTATGTCAACATTATCTGAACAAACTAATTTGTGATGGTAGGCAGTGGCGGCGGACGACTGCAATACAGTTGATTTGTGGTGAAAAAGAAATTCAACCAAAACTAAATAAGTTTATAATACGTAAAAAATGTACGAGAGAGTGAAAAAAAAATTATTCTTTTTTTCATCAAATAATTTTCATTGCATTTCTTTTTCAACAAATTAAATAATCCCTTAATAATCTTAAGGTCAATAGAATATTAGTGAGAATATTCTTAGGCCTTTTTTCATTGAATAATAAAGCCACAAAATTTTAACGTTTACTAATACATCATTAACTGTTTATAATTATTAAAATAACATCATAAACAACTAATTTTTGGCTAATAAAACACTCCTAGTTTTGAACTATGCTTGAGTTAGTTGTGGAGTCAAAATACATAGTAAGTTAAAATTAATCATAAATACAAAATTTACGCATGCTGACATTAATAAGGTATAATTAAAATTAATTTTGCAATAGTCAATCTATTCAATCAAAGCCATATGTGATAGGAAATTTGCATGAAAAACATAATCATGACTATTTAAAGGGATTTGAATTATATAATGAAATATTTACAATAAAATAAATAATTTTTTATTTTAAATTTTTGAGATAATTTGAATAAAATTCTCATAAAAGATTTAATGTTTTCGTATAAACTCTAAAATGAAATGAAACTTTTATGATTTTTCAAATCAATGTATTGTTTAGAAAATATAAATGAAATATTTTTTTCCTTAATGAAATATTCTCTTAATTCTATGTCAACTAATTAGGATTTTGTATTAGTGAGAATTTAAATAATGATGGTGTATCAATAATTATAAAATTTAATAAAATATAACAATAAATAAAGAAAAATGTAATAATAGGTTGATCTTTAAACCCTAAAATGCTTTAAAAATTATGATACATTTCTACAATCTTATTCGTAATAATAGGTTGATCTGTAAACCCTCATCAAATTTTTAAGGCCTATTTCATTTGAAGTAAAATCGGTGTAAAACAATCAAAGGTAGAAGTTTTAAAAATATTAGTACTTGATTTAAAGTAAAAGAGATATAGAGTAAAATTTTTAAGTATTTGAAATTCACCTTCTACTTCATTTTTTTTGTTTTTAAAAATCATCAGATTCAAGCAATTTTCAAATACACTGCAAATTCTCTTTCATCGTTGTTATCACCGCCGATCTTAACTTGTTGTTGCCAACACCATCCTCGCCAGCCACCGACTACTGGCAAACACTATCTTTGATCATTATATTATATTTATTTTATTTCAAGCTAAATAAAATAATAATAATTACATGCATGCATTTGTTTCACACTTCAAATAATTCAAAATATATCAAATATATTATATTTTCTTACACTGTGTTTCATTTTATTATGTATTTTTTTAACAAACCAAATGGCCAGTAAGTCTCTCTTTGTCAAAATATTTGGCAAAATGTTATGAAAATAAATTAAATTATAAATTAAATTAAACCAAAATCATTCGTTCTCAGGAGAAGTTCTCCTTCAAATTTCTATCTAGAAAAAATACAATTTATTGCTAGAAGCTTATAGAGTTAAAATTAACAACAACAAATTGATTTAAATTATGTATTAAAAATCATTAATTTTATAAATATTTAATCATAAAATATTGTCATAATTTCGAGTAATTGACCAGTTCAAACAACTTCATAAAATATTTCATATTTTATAGATCGAGAAAATGAAATTTTTTACGCGTGAATAACTTTCAAGTTATAATATAATATTGTTTTGGTGCCAGGTAATTATAAAATAATTAAAAATTTTAAAAAAAATTTCTTTGTGCAGTTTCATATGCAACTTTTTCAAATGAACAAGTTACCATAATTGTGAGAATTGGGGCTAGGTCAAGAGAAAAATTTTAATCATATTTAATCAAAATGATTTTTTTAATTATTAAATTTATATTGAGATTAATTTATACAGGTCTATCAATTAAATCTTATATTTCAATCATCTTGAAATAAATTTAACAATTTTAAAATTAAGCAAATAAAATTGTGTTAGCAGGTCCTACGACAAATTATATCGAGAGGCGACAGGCGCTTCAAATAAAGGTGAAATCAATTTTAGTTCTCACGGGGTCAAGTGACAAACTTATAAAAGAAATAAAAATATATACAAGGGTGCAAAAAATAATTTATTTTGCACATGATCACTTTTCACATACGTATTTATAATGTTAGAAAAGTTCAACATAATCAGATCAAAATAGCGGAAGGTCAAGAGGCTTTCTGCAGCCAAATTTTACCATTGGGTTTGAACAAACAAGCAAACACTCGACACTTCATATCAAGACCAGCAAACATAAGTTGGTTTAGGCACAATGATAACTGTACAGATAGCAATCCACACACAATATGAGCACAAAAACCAGTTTGGTCACAAATATGATACAATCTTACAATGCCAGTGGCAGTTTATTATGCAGATAACATTTGCCATCTTTGGATCTGATGGCTTAAGCAGGAACGGGTTCTTGGAGCTTAGCATCCTCCTGAGAAGCAACACTGTCATAATATTCAACCAGAACTTTCCACCCGCCAGGGCACATGAAGCCTTCGGGTGGATTTTCTCTGTTCTTTGCCAGGCTTCGCATCTGAATAATAGAATGAAAGTTAGTTTAAGGTTTCGTTTGGGACGGTTTTCTTACTGCTTCTTAAAGCAGCTTTTTAGTACAAAATAAAAAAAAATTTGTACTAAAAAGCTGCTTTAAGAAGCATACATAACGTTGTCTTAAACGAAGCCTAAGATACATTGAGGATTTGAATTTGGAGGGTAGAGAAAGAGAAGCCACCTTGGTGCCTGAGATGAAGATGAAATCTTCGGATCTTAACGGGTTGAAGAAAGCCATCTTTCCCTGTGTTTTGTCATAGGCAGCGACCTGAACTAGCCCACAAGTAGCGAGATAGTAACATGCATTGGGAAAATACTGTTAGAACATTATAATAGAGAGAAAAAAATTTATCTTTTAGGAAATTTATAATAAGATTTCCATTACTCAAATTATACACCTAATCAAATCAACGCGGATCTTTTGCTTTCAAGTGTCTCTGGATAATAATTTTTGGTGCCATGCTCCAATATTGATAAGGAAAAAAAGGAGGAAAGGTTAGAGAGTATGGGTGGTTTTAACTCTGCTAGTCTGTGATTTAAAAAAAATAATTAAAAAAAAAAAACTTTGTTAGTCTGTGATGAGGACATCTGATCTTGGAGAGTTTATCAGAGATGTGGCCGTCGATCTATGGCCATGATTGCACAGCTTTATTTTTTATTATCATTGTATTAGATTATTATGTTTATGAGTTATTTATATTTTCCTTTTACGCTCTCAGTTGAGGACCTAGTCATGTGTACGCCCTAGGGGCAAGTTGGTCTTTTGTATTTTCTTCATTCTATTGGCTATTTAAAGCCTCCTCCTCCTTGTGGAGATGATGAATGATATTATGAATTTTCTGCATTTATGTGTTTTGAGAGAGCTTGAGAGTTCTTGGAGAGATTGAAGTTCCTAGGTGAGGGCATCGCAATACCCACCAACCGCAGGATACGTCCGGGTTCATGGTTGACATCTTCTCTCTTCCCTTTAAACTGTCGACCAAATCCCTTCTCCCCTCTCTCGACCGAAACCCCAACCTCCACTAACCCTAGGCCGGCCACCTCTCTCCCGGCCGAGCACCACCACCCCCTTCCTCCTCCTCCACCGCCGGCCATAAGGGTGGTTTTAACTCTACTAATCTGACATTAAAAACCAATATCATTCATCCTGTTTCCTACCTTCTCTACAGCATCGAAGGAACAGTTTTCATGATAGAGCATGGCTGCATGGTTGATTATATCTCAAAAACTAGCATTCAGTGAATATTGTTGTTTGGATCGAAAGAGTTTACATACCTTGAATGGTAAGATGTTGAGCTTCTCGAGACCCGGGGCCATGCTAAGTACTTTCTTCCCATGCTCAGCATCATAGAGGTCCCTCTTCTCAATGGGGTGGCTCATGCCAGCGGGATCTCTGCCAACAATATAGAAATTAGCACCAGCATTAATCCGAGATTTTGCATGCCACTGCACCTCAGTTGGGCCTGCATAATGCATGGGAGATGGGAATATTGCGACAACTGTAGTCTCGGGGTCAAGCACACCTTCCTCAAGAACCTGTAAGGGATTGCTGAAGGATGGAATATTATCGATCATTTATAAATAGACCAGAATTTGCTAGAACCGAGTGGACAATTTGTCTGGTAAATACATTTTAAGTACTTCAACATAATAAATATAGCATTTTGTATCATATACATTTAAGTACTTCACTAACCTTCTCATGTTGCTTCATCCTCCAAAGGAGGGGAACATCGTCTGCTTTAGTGTAGCCACCTAAGGGATGAAGCAGCAATATTGGGTTTTTGTAGCCCACCTCCAGAAGATGCTTTCGAGTGTCATTCATGAGCAATGCATGGCCATTATGCACAGGATTTCGAAGCTGGAAAGCAAACACAGCATCAGCATTGCGCCTTGTGAATTCTTCCCGCAGATCTGCAGGTGAAAGACGATATTTATCAAGGCCATCATTGTACTTAATTGGCTCAATAACCAACAGGTCTCCTCCAATCAGCCAGTTTCCAGCTTCGCTAATGGCATCATCAACATAAGGTAGTCCTGGGGCGGTTGTTCCCCAGGTTCTAGCAATTCGTTCTTCTTTGTTATGCTTGTAAATTTCAATACTGAAACAATAAAGAAAACATCGAATTATGGGACAAGGATGAAGTTTGTTTCAAGGAAGGTTGGGAATCAATGATGAGTTCTACATAAAAAATAGAATTATCTCGGTTAAAGAAAATAGTGCAACATTGAGGATTGGATTTCTAGGGATGAAAGACTGTTTTTGATGAAAGTTGGTAAACATCAGCTAAATTAAGAAATCAAATATTGATGAAAAAGGAGTAAACAATGAAATTTGAAGTTCACGAAGGAAATTACTGAAATACAAGCTAAATGATTTTTGTTTAGAAGAAAACAGCCTATGTACATAAGCAAACGCATGCAGCACCTTAGCATATTGGTTGGGTTCCAGCCAAGAGGTGTTCAGAGAGAGAAATAAATGCAATAAGCTACCAATGTTTATGTTATTTAACTCAAATAGTAACCTAAATCCACAAGAATAAAAAGAAGACCTGATCTACCATACAAAAGCCACGTAGAGGTAGAATAAAGAAGCTAAAAAAAATCTTCCAAAAATTTAAGAACACCTTATCTCACCAGAGAAGAAAAGTCATAAATATTCTAAACTTTAAAAGATGTCATCCATCACTTTATGCACTATCTTTATTTTAGAAGACCGATCAACCATCTTATCTGCTGAGAGTGAAGTCCCATCCAAGATTTGTTCAGTCAAAGAATATGTCAAGATCCCTGTCTTTAAAAAGGATGATTTTATGAGCTTATTTTACATCAACTCCCCATGTGAAGGTAACCTCAAATCCCAATTTGTGCACCTCCTTATGGCTAACATCGATGCTCTTGCATGGGAGCCTCCGAAACGCTAAAGGTCAAATTGAACTTCTCCTTTCATAGGTTGAGTAAGCCCCAAAATCATAAGATATAATATTACAACACCAAAATTCAACCAGCAATTAAAGAGTAGGTTCTCAAACTACTCAACATGAGATTTATTATAGAAGCCCAATACTTTGAGTGAGCCTCTAATGTCATCACGGTCAAGAAAGCCAACAAAAAATATAGAATGTGTGTTATAGCAACCTACAAGAGACCAATGAACAATATTTTCAAAGCATAGAAGGGACACAATCATGAATTTCATATCGAAGACATCAAGATCAAGAGTAAGTCAACCATTAACAAGAATGTTATAGCAACTTACTAGAGAGCAATGCATAACATTTTTATACCACATAAGGGAAGAAAGCTTAAACATATCAATGACATCATGATGAAGAGTAAGTCACACATCAACTATCTTATTGATATCTTCAACATGTTTGCAATGTTAAAGCGGTTCAATATCAAGCTTGAATAACATTTTTATACCACAGAAGGGAAGCAAGCTTAAACATATCAATGTCATCGATCACGATCAAGAGTAAGTCACACATCAACTATCTTACTGATATCTTCAAGATGTTTGCAATGTTAAAGAGGTTCAATATGAAGCTTGACTCTTCCAAATGTAAGTTAAATACTCGAACTGATAAGTTCCTTAAAGACATGATTATGTTGGTCGACATCACTACGAATCCAAATAAGATTTGTATGATGCTAAAGATCAAGCCTCCACGCTCGGTAAAAAAGTTCAAAAGTTGACAGTTAAGATGGAGGGCCTTCGCTAGTTCATTTCTTGTTCAAGCGAGTGGAGTGCTCCACAATTCAAGGCAATTTGCAAGAGAAAGAAGTTCCACTAAATGCTTGAATGTCAAGTAGCCTTCCAAGAGTTCAAGCAATACATAACTTTTCCTCTTGTCCTTAATAGCATGAGACAGAGAGACTCCATCCTTATTTCCAAGGTCATAATGTCTAAGTCATCATGGAGAAACATCTGATAAATAATCCAAAAAAACTAGAACTCTAAGAAGGCTTATGAAGTAATCAATTGAGCTCAGCAAGTACACTTGATGTCTTTATCAGACTTCCGTTAAAATTCAAGACTTGGTAGATTTTGTTGTGGAGTTCTCTTCAACTGAAGAATAACTGTATTATCCAATGCATATAAATGACGCTTTGAGGGAGTGAAACAGTAAGTTAGCGTGATTTAAAAAATTCCTCAAGCTATGGCTTTAATCTATGCATTCCAAATCACCTTCAATGTCACGAACAACCGAGACGAATATGAGACTTTGTTATAAGTGCTCTCACTCCTCTACAGATCCCCTGGCCTTTCTCCACCTTCCCTGTACTCATCATCACTCCATAACAAACGGTGTCCACCAATTTCACTCCCAATTGATCGACGACCTGAGTTGAAATGAAATTGTGGGTAGCCCCACATCAATTAGCACCACCACCTCCCTGCCCTCTATCTCTCCCTTCACCTTCATGGTATGATTCGTAGTGAATTCTACCACTGAGTTCAGGGAAACTTTAGTCATATCCAAATGTAGCTTCTCCTCCATCTCCTCCTCTATCTCCTCCTCACCTCCCTCCTCAGTTTCCTCTCATCGCAGACGGTGAGAACCTGAAGAGTTCGGTCCTTGCATCGATGCTCTGGCGTTAACTTCTTCTCGCACCTGAAACACAACCCCTTTGCCCTCTTCTCCTGCATCTCCTTCTCTATCAGCCTCTTGAATTTTTTCCCACTCCCTCCTCCTACTGGCTTCTCCCTGGTGATCTTATTAATGTTGCCCGAGGCAGGCCCCTTGGGTGTTAGAAGAGTGGTCGTAGTCTTGTAAAAGCCTCCTGAGCTGCTGCTCCTAGCTCCCTTTTCCATATTCTTTTGATTTTCCACCAGCTGTGTCAACTTCATGGTCTCCCTCAAGTCACTAGGCATCAGAACTTTCACTGCCGCTCGGATCTCTGCCTTCAACCCCTTCATGAAGTTCCCCTCCAACACCGTATCTGATAATCGCTCCACCCTATTGGCTAGATGCTCAAACTGCTCCTGGTAGTCTGCTACTGATCCCTCCTGTGCCAGAGCAAAGAACTACTCATAGAAATCTCCTCCCCGGTCGGTTTGAAAACATTCTATCATGCAGTCCTTGAATTCCCTCCAGTTCCTGATAAGTCTCCTCTGGTCTCTCCACTGGTACCATGACAGTGTCTTCCCCTCCAAACATAGGTCTGCTGCTGTCAGTTTATCCTCCTCCGTTAGCCCATTAATGACAAAATACCTTTCCACATTATAGATATACTCATATGCATTCTCCCCCTCAAAGATAGGCATCTTCAACTTCCTCACCTTCTCATCTCCACCATTCCCCCTTATTCCTCCATAGCATTCCCTCTCCCACGTGCTCGGCCCACCCCACGTCTCCCGGTTTTCCCTTGTCCTTCCATAGCCCAAACCCCCTTCAAATTCCCCTCTTCTTCCTTCAAAATCAGCACCTTGGCAACCATAATGTCCCTCCCGGCGTTCCCAATCAGCACCCCTTTGCTCCGTCCCTCCATACACATGCCTTTCCCCATACCTATCTCCTTTATCCTCCCTCTGGAAAGACTCCACATAGGATTTCCTTCTTTCTCCATCCACGATTTCCACCTCATCTTCCTCCCTACGAATTTCAGAATTCGTGTTTTTTATTTCCTCCTCTTCTGCCACGGAAGCTGTTGTTTGGTTATGGATTTATAACATTTTCTTCATCATGTCTCGGAGAATAGTTACTTGTCCTTCCATGGAGGAAATCCTTTCCTCCACCGTTGTCTTGATTTGGTTCATCTCCCCTTCAAGTCTTTCTTTTAGCGCATCAACTTTCTTGGCCTCCATCTCGATCCGAACTTTTGTAAATCCAAAAATTCCGGATTTGGATTACATAAACAGCACTTCGTCCCTTCCCAACCAAAAATTAACCGCCGAACTTCGCCAAAATCAGCCCACGAATAGTCCCAAGACTTGCTCTGATGCCAATTTGATAGGAAACACTTGTAGATCTCAAGTATTTTCAATCAATCTTCGGAAAACTGCGAGAAATCTTCACAATAATCCGCACAAAACCACAAAAATGGTAGATAACTTGTATTATTTGATGAAAGGAACACGGAAAATAGCAAGATACACTTGATCCTCGATTCGAGAGGAGGATCGATCTCTCCCAAATCTCTAGACGCCGCTAGAGCCCAAAGAAAACCTAAATCTAAGAGATCTCAAATTTCAACCAAATTCAAGATGCCCTAACCCTAGGAAAACAAAGTATTTAATGCATACAAATCAAAAGGAAATCCCTAAACAATCCCTACATTCAATTTCCCTCCTAGAATCCATTCAAAAAACCTTCCTAAATGACCTCCCAGGGATGTTCCGCTTGTGCGGCTAATGGAAGAGGCGGAGATGTTCCGCCTGGGCCGGTCCCACGTGGATCGGCTGGACTGGTCCAATGGACCGGTCTACCAGGCTAATGAATGGCCACACCAAATGCCCCAAGGCAAATTGTCCATGTTTGTGCCTTTGAGCCAATTTTGATAGGACTCAACCAAGCCTAATACATTGTAATTTCATTGAAACACAATCATTTATATTAACCCTTGCCCTATCCAAACCAAACTCCAAATAGGAGAAAACATACTTTGATGCACTATTCAACCGACCTATATGTTTATCTTAGGATGCTCTCAATTCGGGTGAGTCGAGAGCTCTCTATTCGGGTGAGTCGAGCTTCTTTTGGATAGCTAGATTGGCCATGCTAAAGCCTCTAACTCACAGTAGCTATGTTATGTGCCTCTGAGTTAATTGGACATAAATCCGTCAATCCCAATGTGATGTACTTTCATGGAATTATGGCCGACTGAAATGGTACCCTTAGGCCTTTTCCAATCAACACAAACTCCAAATGTTACTTCAAAAGGAAGTTTCCTTTGATATACTATTCACCCTATTCATGTTCCTTAGAACACTCTTTATTCGAATAAGTACAATCTTATTTTAGATAGTTTAATTAGTCATTCCAATCTCTTTGAGCCACACTAATCATGCTCAATGCCTATGAGACAGCTTTGATATGAATTAATCATGCCTATTGCATTACAATTTCATGGAAATATGGTCATCCATACAAATCCCCTCACCCTTCTCCATCCAAAAGGAATTTCAAACCTCATTTTGAGATAATACATATTTTGACATATTGCCCCACCCAAGTCTACTCGATATGCTAAAGAGGAGGTAATCCATGCCCATTAATCAGGACCTCTAGACGACATTGCTTCACTTCCTTTATCGTAGATAGATTAGTCAAATGCATTAACCGTAGATGATGGAAGCATTGACTCTTAATCAAGATGACAATCCATCCTCATTCATACCCTTTATAAATCATAACAACTTTGTATGCCCCGGGACCCCGTATAGAGCATACTTTAATGTCCTTAATCGAAAGTGTTCTCCACATCACATCAAAGATGTAAATAACAATGAGGCTTGCGCCCTTGGGGGCCTAGATCCCCAAGAATTAAATAAACCATGGTCGATTCCTCATGTTGGCTAGGGGAAACCAGAAGGACATACTCTATCTGCCCTTGAAAACTCACCCTTCTTGTTGGTCTTTACGGATTACTCAATAAAACAAACTATCTTGCACTTTGAATTATTTTGTCTAAAAATAAAGACAATAACAGATAGCTCACAAGTGGAAAACAATGATTTATGAGGATAAATATGATAAGAATAACTTGAATCTATAATCAATCTATCATTACTTCTCTCTCCAACAATCAGCAAAAAACTATAATTTAAATCCATGCTTGAAAAATCTGCAATAAAACTAGTTTTAACTAACTAATCGTCGTTGTTATTTTCTATGGTATGTTGCCCCTTCTCTTCAAAATTTAGAAATCACTCTAAAGGTGCCTTTTTATCCGAATAGATACAAACAATGTCACACTACTTTTTATGAAACTTATTTTGCTATAATTAGAGCTAGACAAATTCTTAGAGGTTTCGCTATAATCAACAATCCCTTAGTTTGCTCTTCATCTCCGTCAACCACAAGTTTAGAAATTACATTTTTAGAAATAGGCAAATTATTAACATTCTATAATCTAATTGTATCTCATTCATATAATATTGTGTCATAAGAATATTTATAAGTGAGATAAATAGCACAAGGATTGCAAATTTTCATCATCTTAATAATATCACATCAATAAACCGTACATTCTTAAAAATAGAACTAAACTCATAAATATGTGATTTTATGGGCATGCCTTCTTACAACGGAAGCAAATAAAATCTCTAGTTTTGATAATGTTACATTGAAAAGACTTTTGTTCTTGTGCAAAGACTCTAACTTGGAATATAACCCCTCTGTGTTGTTTCATCCAAAACCACAATTAACTTCTAGTCTGCCAAACGTAATTAGATTGTTGAGCTATCTTTCTACTTCATGTATGATCTCAGGTGTTGGGGTAGTAAAATCATGCAACAAATACAACCAAGAAAGAGAAAATGCAGCGGAAAAGAAAGAACACCAGAATTTAACGTGGAAAAACTAGAAATAGGAAAAAAAAACCAAAGCTACACCACACCAAGAAATTCAATATAAAAATTGGGAGAAATTATATAGATCTCTCTTCTCTCTAACTCTCTCCTTATCTCTCTTCACTCTTGCACCATTTTTGCACTCAGAACTAACAAAGAGACATACTTCAATTACTCCAAGGGACACAACCCTTCATGTTAAACATGAAAATAAGAAAAAAAAAATGTCCAGCCTGACTCGCATCACTGCAATGCCAATTTGGAGCGCCATGGCGCTTCACTCTCTATCTCCTTGCTTGACTAGTAGCATCACGACGCTCCACTCTCTGTCTTAAAATGGAGCATATGTATACTGTTGTAGCGCTAGAGTATAAAGTGTCGCAACGTTGTACGATCATACGTAAATTTTTTTAGAGCAAAGCCCTTGAAACCAAGCAGAGGGAGGATCCCCTTGTGAGCTCAACCGACAGAATTGAGGTCCAAGGCAACAGTACAACTTGATTGATCGACATAATCAAATTCCACATAGAACTAACATTAGCCATATTCAAGAAGCCCCCTTGAATGCCTTCACAAGTTCATGCTAAATTATTACACCTTTAATATTGGTTCGCCAAAGATCTGAACTTTTTAAACCATCAAATTTCTCTACCCATTCTTCCTGTTCATTGTATCCTACATTAGTCTCTAGTACAAGTTTCTAGGAAAAAAATCCCAAATTTTAATATATATGCACCTAACATAAGTAAACATTATGAACAGACAATGTAATTTTATAAGAGATCAAGTATTGCAAAAAAAAGGTTTATACGATTCTACTAAAACAAGTCTACATACATGGGAGTAGAGAAAGGACTTGATTTACCATAGAGAAGTCATATAAGTGTAAAAAATCAAAAAGGCATAAGGAAATACTCTTATACAAATCTAAACAAATCAAAAGGGTATAAGAAAACACCCATACCCAAACTTAAGTACACCCAATCTCAACATAACAAAGAACCCCCAAATCTCTTAAGCCAAAAAAAAAAAGAGAATAACATGAGAGATAATAAACAAAAAAGAAATTATGCCCTTAAAGTTTCATAGAATGGTAACTTCTGTTATCTATGGAATATTTACAAATTTTTTAGCACAATAGCTTTTATCGGGTTGAGATAATACTCGATGGCCATAATTTTTTTTTCTTTTTTGGCTCACTCTTCCCTTTCTATATCTTTTATAATTTCAAAAACTTCCAAATCTTTTCAAAGACGACTCATTTAAACTAGTTCCAACAATGGCCCTCTGTCAACAACCACCCAAAGAAAAGGCTGAGCAAATGCAAAACAAAATTGGCTCTAATTAGTGCATACAGATGAAAGCTTTGCACCAATTCCTCTCGCCAAAAACCCATAGGCAACTCTCTCATTTCTTTGTATATTTATAAGGATATAAGGAAGTGGATTCAAATGTTAAATAAGTTTAAATTGACATGAAATTATTCAAAATAAAAAAATTATCTAACAAACTTTTAAACATTATTTCATTCCAAAATAAAAAGATAATTTATGTTTATCATTATAACAATGTACTTTTAATCTTGTGCATATCGTAACAAAATTATTGAATTAAAATTCTAACAAAATAACACATTCAAGTACTTATTCAGCATCCACACTATAATTTATTTGGAAAATGAATTTTGCTCTTGTATAGTCACCTCAAATATGATATAGCTAACTCGCATCCCAGAATACCATAATTAAATGAGATGTGTGATTTTTAAGAGTAGTTTGAAGATTTAGCACCAAAAAATATAGGGAAGTAAGGGAAAGAATAACAAGTTGAAAAATTTATTTAGTAACTAACAAATTTTCCTAAAAATTAAATCAAATAAACAATTGAATAAAAAAACATCCAAAAAACACAACTTCTAAAAAATGTTGAGCATCTTAAACTTTTATCTGGTAAATAAACTATAACTACAACTTCCATAGAACAACATAAGGTAAACGCCAACAATCAAATATAAGAAAAGCAGAACTGGCATGTAATTTTCCAAACATGGAACAGTTTGAAAAGTCATTAACCCAGTAACACTTCCTTAATTTTCTTAATAATAGTTATGTTAATCCTGCTGCGGTGATGCCCCTCTTAACATTCCACGCCACTCCTCAAGTCTGCACTTTTAGGCTAACCCGGTTGAAATTTCTTTAGAAAACGCTGAGCCAACAACTATATCAACTGTGCAGAACCAGAAAGCAACAGAACAAAAATAAAGATAAAACAAAAATGTATCGCTAGTTCTAAAACGAAATATCAGTTCCAATTCATCACACTCAGTCAAAAAAAAGCGCGTACTTTTTTAGCTCACAAACCAGGTCGGCACAATTCAAAGCCGCAACACTAGTACAATTTAAACAGCTGGTATTACAAATTTCAAATTGGACAAAAGTACATAGGTTCATCTGCAATTTTGAGATAGAAAACAAACTTAAAGCATGGCATCTAGCTTGCTCACGGGATAAACTGTTTACCAAAAAGAAGTAAATAAAATATCAAGAAATCTGCATTTCCTTACACTTAATAAAATATCAAGAAATCTGCATTTCCTTACTCTTTAAGTATGGCGACGGGCTTGTCATTCGCATCGACGAGTACAACCCTGCCTCGCCCCTCAATTGCTCGTTTCTGCCCATCATCGATGGCAAGCACAATCGGCACCGACATGTTGACGAAGGAGCCGTCTGGCATCCGGAGACAATTGAAATGAAGTGTTTGGAGGAACTCGACTTCTCTCATGAAGCCGCGGAGTGGGCTCGCCCACCCCTCGCTCAAAACGTGAACCCACTCCAGGTCGATCCGCGAGAGCTTGATCCTAGGAAGGCCATAAGCAGGTGCCGCCTCTCGGCGGCGAGCCTCCCGCTCCGGCCCGGCTGGAGATACCAGCTGTGCCAGTTTCCCGCCGTCTGGATCGATGAGCCCGCATCGAACCCTAGCGCCGCCAGCGGGGCGGCGGCGAAGGCGTACATCGCCTTCAGCGGCGAGATTCGAAGTTCGGGGTTGGAGGAATTGGAGATTAGGACCTGGCGATTTCGCTAAGAGTGCCGCCATGGAAGCCATTGCCCGGCGGCTGGCTAGACGAGAAACTAACTACCATATATAATAACGGAATAAGACAGGTAGTAGTGGAAAATTAGTGCCATGCTATGTAGGCAAGTCCAATTGGAGTGCAGGAGTTTTGGTAATGCGTTGTGAAGCCATTATTAAATGAGGGAAAATGAGAGAAATGCATTTTTTTAAATTATTTTTAAGGTTAATATTATATATATAAGGAAATTGACTTTATAGGACTTATAATAGTGAATATTGGGGAAATACAACTAATATTTATTTTCTAGAAAAATATAGCAAAAAGTTTATTTCAGACTAAAATATATATTTTAGTATAAGTGGACTATTTATTGAGGTACATGAACTAGTTTGAATTCGAACAATTCAAATCGAGTCTAACCTTGATTCCAAATCGAGACAAGCAACCTTGATTCCAAATCGAGACAAGCAATGAATGTTGGCAAACATCATTGTTTGTGATGGGAAGGCCCCCTATTTGTCATAGGGGAAGTTTTTGCCATGTTTGTTAATGTTGTCATTTGAGACAGGGAAGATAGATCATAGGGGCAAGGCGTTGATAGGAGTGGCGGCATGTAATGGGATCAACAACACATTTAAGAGAAAGATGTTTGCGATGAAAGCTCCCTGGGGGAGGTGTCAATGGGATTGATGACTTATTTAGGAGAAATGTGTTTATGATAAGAGCAAGCAAGGGGAAGTGTGTTAGGCTTGACAATGTGTGAAGTAGAAGTATGATTCATGATGGTGAGCTCGTTGGGGAAAACATCAATGGAAGCACAATTTTTGAAGGAGTTGAAAAGTTCATGGTCACGTATGATTCTCCAACGAAACTTGTTGTAAATGAGGTTTAAGTAAGCCTGGTTCAAATTTGGTACAAATTAGGTTTGATTTTGAGTTTGCATTAAGTCTAAAAATGGGTTCGAACCAGGTTCGAATTCAAATCTGTTTGAACCTATTTCAATTACTTTGACTTCAAAAAGCGGTTCAAAAATACATAAGTTTATCCTTCATTAGGGGTAATTTAATATGCAACAATTTTTTAAATTTTTTCTTTAAAAAAAAAATAACGGATATATTTTCCTTTTTTTTTTTTGTTATATGATATATAAAGTCAATTATTTCTATATAAAAGAGTTTAAGACCTACAAATAAAAAATATTAAATTAATTAATATGAAATAATTTTGATTTAAAAAGAATAAATCAAAAATATAATATTCTTGGTAGTTGAGCAAAATTTTGAAGAAAGCAAACTTAATAATTTTGTTCGTTATTTAAATATTGAAAAAAAAAAAAATTCGTGCACTCAATCTTTAGTAGTTAAGAATTAACTAACGATAAAGATGTGATGCTGATTTATCTAATAATCAGAGAATCTGGGCCATATTCTGGTAGTGATGGCCGGGCCGAAAGGTTTCAATTGGAGATAAATTTGCTGTAAGAATCTGGACATCTATTTGCGTTAGGTGCATGAGAAAAAAAAAGGGGATTTACATACAAATATGTTGCGGGTTAGAGTATTCGGGATGGTACCAGTGCCAAAAATTTTATGTCTTAGCATTGTACGAGTATCCAGTACACAAACAGAGAACAAAAAAAAAAAAAAACACCACAACTTTTTACGTGGAAAACCCTGAAACGAAAAATCACAAGGTCACATCCAATTGAAATGATTCAACTAGTGTTTAAATAGATTACAAATGACTAGTTTATCACTTTATCCTAAAAATTGAGGACGATCAGATTATAACAGTCAACTGTCATGTTGAAAGAGAACTATGATTTCCTCTTCTTCCTTCTCTCCCTTCTCTTTTTGCTTAGAGGTTCCCTCCATGAAGAATGAGTGAGCTATTTATATTTTTTGTGAGAGACATGGCCAATAATTGAAGGGAGATCAAGGATATGTTGGGAGTGTTTGAATGGATGACCGATATTGATCCCTTGATCTTAGACTGTTTACTGGGCATTTGAATGTCTTAATAATGTCAGAATTCGATTATCTTGGGATCATTGGATTCATCTCGTCGAGCCGCTCAATTCGACTATAAGCATTTCATTTTTGGAATTCGTTTGGTAATCCAAATTATGGTTTGAACCTTTCAAACGCTCTTTGAGGCTTCGATTTGGACCCATTTGGGCTCAAATTGAGTCGAATTTGGTTTCGTTAGGGATTGTATTTTCGAGACATTCAGTTCGACTATAAATTTGTTGAGATTGGAGTTTTGATGGTCTTAGATTTAATTTCAAAAGTTTTCAACTTGATCTTGCCTTGAGATTAGTGCCCGATTAAGATACTTTTTTGAGAAAGGTTGGTGATCGACTGCGGGAAGTGGCAGACGATGGCATCCTACTTCGATATCTTCCAACAATGACAACTTGCAGCACTGGTAGTTGGGTGATAGAAGGCGACTAACATTACTTTAACCAAAGCTACATAAATTTTGAAGCTAACTCAAAATTAACCCGATTTTCATTCGGATTCAGGTACTTATATGAGTCCGGCTTAGATTAAATGCGTTAAACCGGTCGTATTTAGGTTAAATGTCATGTTAAATAGTAAAACGAGAAGTTAATTTGGGGTATTTTATATAAGGAAGGACAACGTGCAACTAAAGACTCATATGGGAGAGTAATTAAAAATATAATCACATAATTTGTTAAAATGTTATAGAGCTAAGATATATGGGAGAGTAATTAGAAATATAATCATATAATTTATTGAAGGCCGGGTGATAGACCGAAGATATAGGATGATGGAATCTTATTAATGAAACTAAAATGATCTGAAACGCTTCTCCAAAAAAATTTCCTGAGATTTAAGAATGCAATTAGAAAGAACTAATAACAATTTTAAGAGTATGTTTATGTAATTAAGGAATATCATTTTATTGGAGCATCTCCATAGTAAGTTTGATGTATTATTCCATTTTAAGAAAGCAAATCAAATAATCAAGAAGTAAATTCCTCTACAAAGTCACATCTAAGGACATCTTCAACCGAAAAATTTTATTTTCCACATCAAAATGTAATGAAACTCCAAAATGTAGTAATTCATCTACAACTGAACTCTATTTCTTCTCCTCTTTCGCGTGCTTCTTCATCACACTGCAAAGGAACCGTCTTTCTCTTCTTTCGCGTGCTTCTTCTGCAAATCTCGTAAACCAATTTTTTTGCTTATCGCATTGTTCACTTCCGGAGATTAGCGGACAATTTCACATTCGATTGGAACGTTTGGCGGACAGCATACACTTGATTACCGTTCGGTTATGAATGATCTAAAAGGCATTATGATCTCATAATGTTAATTTTGACACATGGTATATGGAATGCTAGCTCAACAGAGCTCAAAAACCTGCTCATAAAACAAACAAGCAGCAAAAATCAAAAGTGACACAAAATTAAGAGGCTAAAAGCACAAAAAATAGAGCTCCCAAATCCAATAAATGCCTGGACTCAGGAGATAATACCAACGAATCAGAGAAAAACTCAAACCCCTAGTTGCCTTATGACCGTCCAAGGAGAGCCTGCAATAGGAGCCACATTATTGCGCAAGGCTTGGCATAAACACCAATTGACATAAGCGAAAAAGGCACAAATATGTTAAAACAATAAAATAATTTTGTTTTGCCAAATAAAGCTATATTTATGCTGGAAAATAAAAATAAATAGAATTATTTGATTGAAATTCAAATAAAAACTGACATGAAATTTTAAAAATAAATTTATGTTAGAATGATATAATAAAACTTTAAAAACCGCTCATATGTTTTAACTATCTTTTACTTAAAAAAATATATGAAATTTAAAACTTCGCTTGAAATTTGCCGTAATTCAATTGAATTAAATTAAAATGATATATAATCAAAATTTGATTTGAATATACTATTCCAATTTCCCTTTCGTCATATAGAAAAAAATAGTAATCATATCCTTATTAAAATTTGATTAAAATGAATTTAAAATTTTTTGAATTTATTTTAAGATAAGTATTGTTTAAATATTAATTAGTTATTTTATAGTACATTTATCTCAGTTTTTCAAAAATAATAAAAAAAAATATTATAAAATTTTTATTATAATATAATCCAATTTCTTTCCGTAAAAGAATCTCTCATCCAGCTTCTGAATATATATATTGCAAGCGTGTGGGCATAATTTATTTAATGATGATGCAATCGAAAGGGATTTGAATCCAAACATTTTTTTAAAGATTGTTGCTGGCTAGAATATTAGCGACGGTAAAGTAGAAAATTTTTCTTGTTATTTTTTAAATTAGTTTTATAGCATTAAAATTTAATTTTAAAACTAGAAAGGTGCTTTAAGAATCAGTAAGATAGATGTCCCAAATAAAACCTAAATAGGCAAATAACAGCTGAAGTTGCTGGAGAGTAAAAGAAAAAAATATAGCTGCAGTAGATATGAAGAGGCGAAGATCCGAGTCAGAGGAGAAGCACAATGGTGAGAATACGGAGAATACAATGAGTCGCATGAACAATCGTAGATGATAATAATCAAAATTAATTAATTAAAACTAATTGATGCACTTAATCTAAAATTTTAAATGTTGCTTGAATCGTCTAGTATGTTAACAGTCGCGTGAACAGTAGTGTGATTTAAGGGTGCAAATGAGTCAAGTCGAGCTCGGGTCATGCCTAACTCGAGCTCAACTCGTGAGCCAATTCCTAAGCTTGAACTCGAGTCGAGCTCAAACTGCTCATGAGGAGTAGCAATATAGTGTCAGCGGTCCGCTTTCGCTTCAGCCTTCCATGATTCAGTCATTCAACCTTTCGTGTTTGTAGTTGCCCCCACCGGTTCCACGTCTTAGCTTGTCCGAGCCAACCCCCACGGTTCGACATTCTGCCTTCCTCCTTCAACTTTCACGATTCCGCTTCCACACTCAAGAGCCACTCGACGAGTAATGAAGCCAAGCGTCACCTTGATCGAACTGGAGCTTGATAATCCAACAAGATTAAAATTCTGCTCAAGCTCGATAAACTTGACTACTCACGAGCTCGTTAGCGAGTCAAACTCAAGCCAACTCAGTGGATTTACATCCCTAAGATCGAGGAATTCGTTCGTGTAGCC